ACCAATGGAATCATAAACTACATCGAATTTTTCTGGCAAGTCTTCAAAGTTCTCCTTTGTGTAGCCAATAGCGAAATCAGCTCCCAATCTTTTCAACAGCTCCAAATTTCTAATGCTTGAAGTTGCAGCAACTCTTGAAGCTCCAAAAACTTGCTTAGCTAGCTGTTAGTCATTGAAGGTATGCATAACATAACTTGTCAAGTGTACGAATTTTCTTTATAGCATTTTAAAGTTGTAGTACTTTCCCTCATGCTAGAAATTTGAAACCAGAAACTTAATTAGAGTACTCTAAAAAAATTGGAATTAGGAGTCATGTTACTCTTACATTCATAGACTTACAAAAACCACTACAAAAAAACAGGCATTTAGCGGCGGTTCATTTTTGGTATACGCGACGGTTACAACCGCCCCTAATTGCAAAAATGCATTTAGCGACGGTTGTAACCGTCGCGTATACCAAAATGAACCGCCGCAAAATGTCTGTTTTTTTGTAGTGAACTTACAATCTCTGCATCTCTGTCTTTGAACTGTAAATAAACCTTTTTAAATCGACAGCAGAGTTGTAAGTTTTGTAAGTGTGTGGTTTTAAGGGTAGACACACGGGATAAAAGGTTTGATAAGCCAAGTTTTCAAACAAACAAAAAACTTCCATCAAATACCAACTGAATAGAAGCTTGATTTTGCAGGGGCATGCCTATACAGTGTATAAGTACAATTAGAAGTCAAAATTTTCTAAATTGTCAGAAAGCACTACCGTTCACCAATAAATACACTCTTAAACTTCATATTTAATGAGCACTAATGAATGGTAGTAAAATCAGCAATACTAGTTGATGCCTTCACCAAGTAAGTGAATGGATTTAGTCACTGATTCTTTGTCTAAGAGGCAAAGACTCTTAACTTATAACTGTGCTGCAAATTGATGTGACATTTGATATGTATAAATTATTTTGTATATATAATGCTAAAGAGGAGAAACATGAAAACCTGCTATTGATGTATTTATTTTAAGTATGAAGGAACATATTTGGAGAATTAATACCTGAATCACTAGGCTTCCAACTCCACCAGAGCCATTTAGAACAAGAATAGATTTGCCAGAAGAAAGTCCAGTCCTCTCTAAACCCTCATAAGCAGTCTCAATTGGTAGAGGAAGAGAAGCAGCTTGAGCAAAGTCCAAATTCTTAGGGTTTTGGTGCCAACAATTTCTCCTCAACAGCCGTGTACTCAGCCAGAGACCCAAATTGCTTAGGCCCTTCTAGTGCTTTCTGATTTACATCCCCATATACTTCATCACCCACTTTGAAGTCCTTTACTTGACTACCAACCTTCACCACCACACCAGCAACATCATAGCCCGGAACAGTCTATGGACAAAACAAGAGAAATTTGATTTCATTACATAATTACTCCTACAAAATGAAGAAATCACTTGTAGCTTTTCCTTCCTTTTTAACCTAAATTCTCTTGCAAGACTACTAATTAGACATGGCCAATCAACCAGTGTGAGTATACTTAGCAATTAGTGATGAGTTTCATTCATAACAAGGAAGCATAGTGATGAGTTCCTTTCCTGACAGCATGTGTGATACATAGTCAAACTTGATGCTGGCCAAATAGTTGTAATACAGCAGTAGAGGTAATACTTGAAGTACCTTGTAAACAGAAATATGACATTTAAACAATTCAGGCAACTATTTACCACCAATGCCATTGTAAAAACTGATCATTTTTTGTGATATATATGTATAAATTTAATTTTCTTGTTTATGAGTGCCATGCGCGTATGTCATTAGCATTGGGATACTGTCTATATGACTTCTGTTTTGTAACTGAAGTATTAAAATATAAATAGTTGCTATTTAATTGTCTTTTTTTCTGTTTCAGTCACCCACACGTCAGTGCATAAGTGGTCGAGTCTTTTTGGATACCGTAGACACTTGTTGGAATGAAGTATGGGTGGAAGTGGGTTTGGAACAGCTGCAAGTGATAGCATGAGCTCGATGCATTCTTCTTCCTTATCCTCATCGAGGGTGAAGATGTGCGACTGTGGAGTGTCGGCTGCATTGCGTACGTCCTACACGCAGAGGAATCCAGGAAGACAGTTTTTTGGATGTCGTAACTTTCGAACCACGGAGGATTGCCATTTCTTTGAATGGTTCGAGGAACCGTGTTGCCAAAATTGTTTGAAGCACGAGAAGTTTGAAAAGTTATTAGCTGTTTCGCACATGATAACTATTATAACATTTGGTATTATCATGACAACATTTATAATATATAGTTGATTTGTGTAGTGGTCAGGCACATGTTTTGTGTATGCGTGCGTATATGTAACTTATTAGGTTTCTGTACTTGTAAACTTGTTTAGGCTTTGGTCTGTAAGCCTTTGATGTAAACCGGGCTGCGTTTTGTGAACTTAATGGATGTGTGTATTCAATGTGATTGTACTGTCTATTTTGTCACTTCAGTACAATGATCCCCAGCAACCAGACAGTTAAGCATTAGGGAAGGCAGTTATGACACAGCAACCAGGCAATTCCATGAAAGTTAGGATAGTTTGTTTAGGGTCCTACTACTGTGCCAGACTTGTTATTTTTATAGAAGCAAGTATTGAATACAATATCCACCGTATCAAATTCTTTATCCTATTATGAGCATGTTTAATTTTTCCCAAAAAATTAAACAATATTGCTAATTCATCCCCTATACAGGCTGATTATATATATGTCAAGACTACGATTTGAGGAATCAATTCATGATAAGAGAAGGCTATACTTCTTTTAATGATTTTGCTATGAGAAGTCTCTCTAAATAAAATTGAATGGGGTCCTTCAATTTTGGACCACCTTTCATGTGCTCTATGTGTTTCAGGGGATTTGACAGCTTTAGCCAGTCAATGGGAAGAATTGCTTCTGTCTTATGGATACAAAACAAAATCGACACTTATATTAAAACACAGCTCACATAGTACAACCATATAGCCATACAGAATCGACACTTTAGACTCCATAAAAAAACCACATCGCAATAGTTGCCATTGCTTTCATAGGTTACTACACATAGGAATCACTTTAGTTAGATTTTCTGCAGTTGCACTGTTACATAATTTGATGACTACACATTGCGTAGATCATATGCATAAGAGATAAAAGCAAGCCTTGGTGAAAACTAAAGGTGCAAGTGCAATAAAGATTAACCAAATCTATTCCATTCCATATAGAAGCCCTTGTTATGAGGACACAAATAAGTGTAAAGTGATGAGCTTGAGAATAAAACCAAAGCAAGCACAGAGTAGTTTGCTGGACAGGTAATTGATCCCTTGGCACAGTTGATGGAAACTGCTTACATAGGTCGATTCGGGTTGGACCTATGCCTGGTGTAATTGTCCTATAAATGCTAAATTCTGCTGCATATAAAAGCCATACTAAACCTGATGTTGTAGCAATAAATGGGAAGCCACTGCCAACAATATATGTTCTGCACCCACTGAAAGTGATCAGCCTATACTCGACATATTAAAGCCCTCTATAACCATCAAAATACCATCCAGACATGGTCCATGGAGGGTTCCAGTTTTCTGCTACATATCCAGCCTTCATCCTCACAAAATCAGCTATGCCTTCAATGAGTCATGAAAGAGCCTCACCCATTCCATCATTCTGCAACAAATGAACCATTTCATGATACAACACCCGAGTAATCTCCTTTTTGATATCTCGTTTGGACCTTTCAATGTAGACTGCACTAACATGAATGTTATTGTTGCTAGCAAATGCGACCCCATCAATGTTTTCAACTATCATGCTTACTTTTTGGACACTTTTGCTGTCAGCATTATTATTATTGTTGTTCATGCTTACTAACATTATTATTATTATGTTACTTAACTTGGCAAACACAAAAAATTGCTTATGAGACATTACATGCATTCCTACCCCATCACACTAGCTCTTATTAGCTTCTCGGACCACCTCTCTGGGGGTCCATTTAAGAGAAGAGCTAGATTTAGTTCAATGAACAGCATCTCACTTGGACTTACATTATTTGTAGAAATAAAAAAAGTGCTGTTTAATTTATCAGTCAAGACATAATAAGCCAACTGCTGTTTAATTCTTTGTCCATACATCAAGGAAAATTTCATTATAAAATATTAGTAACTGACAGAAAGCCAAACTGTTGAACATTTCCCTTTTACCATTCCAACTGGTATGTATGTGTTATAACAAGGAGTAAAAGACATTACAAGAATTATCAACAGACTAAGCCTTGTAACATTCCAAAGTGGGCTACTTGTATTCATAACCATCTTGATCAGGTTCTTGTCCCTCTTTGTTCACATCTATGCAAGTCCACTGCCAGTAACATTGCTGGATATTAGACCTTGTCTGGATTGTAGGATACAGAGCTTTGATGCCACACAGTGGCTGCCTTGACTGAAATTAACATCTTATACCTTGATCCAACCATGTAGTGCACTCCATCGACCCTTACCTGCAGTTTCAGACAACATGAACACTTAGATCCGTAAAATGTCAAAATAGCTACTATGAATTGTATTGTAATACCTGATAACCTTCTAAATGAATCAATTGGTCTTTATGTCAGCAACAAATACACGGAAGCCATACAGGAAAAAGTATCCAAAACACCATAATGAAACCAGTTTGCAGACAATGGCCAATATAATAACAGTTACGACACAGTACAGCCATACATATACAATCTAAATTTCCATTTCCATAATGTTTGCCAAATATGATGACCCTATAGTTGTTTCTTATCCTACATTAACATGCTGGTATTTACATAATCCAACAAACACCTACAGTCACACCAAAAAAGCTATTGACAGAAGCTACAGTCACACCAAAAGTTATTCACACTAGCACAGCCACACCCAAATATCCATTTCACCAAAGAAAGACAGCCACACCAAAAAACAGATTATGTAGACAGCCACACCAAAAAACATAGTATGTACAACAGTCACACCAAAAAAGCTATTGATCAAAGCTAGTCAACAACCCAGCCAATATGTGCTTTCGTTTTTCGTCACTGCATTGCATGAAGATATCCGTCAAATCTCTGTCCCTACCCAACTGCACACCTATGAGAACCATCTGAGGGCTAGTCAAGTAATCATATTTCTCGATCTCATCCATAATTGACATTCGCCTATTACTTCCGTCAGCTTGGTGTTGAAAGCAGGACACCAATTTGTCAATGCTGTCAGATGATTTGCTAAATATGTGAGTTAGATCTTTCATGACATCAACCATTTCAACAACGAAAGAATCTTCACTCCTTTGCCTTTTCTTACCCTTTCTGGCAGTAACAGTTGAAACCAGACTACCTGGGGCCACTACCTCTTCGCTGGGATGTCAGGCATAGGAGGATCTTCTAGAGGAGTGGGGATATAGTCACCAGTGAGGTCTAGGTAATCTTCGAAAGGGGTCCCACTGTCACCATACAAGGCAGGATCTCGTTCCATTTGGTGTATTACATCGTCTGCACCCACTGCATAAGATCCCGTCGCAACATCCTTGCCAAAGATAGTTCCCAAAACATCATAGTGCGGGAATGGCTTGTTGTAAAGACCCTTAGCATTGGGATGAGACTACACAAATTACACACAACAATGAAACAATAAATGTCAGTGTCAATGAATGGTGCATTAAGTTAGGTAATGAAATAATAAATAAGATTGGAGATTTCTTTACCTTCACCCAGTCATCAAATATTTGCTTCTCAACATCTATCATTTTCTTGGCATCGTTCCAACCGAAGCCACTCCCACCATTAGGACCGACCATTTCAGCGATGGCATTATATTGTTTCTTCATCAGTTTCACCCTAGAAGTGATGTGAGGGCTAGCTCGCAAAGAACATCCTGGTATCTTGCGATGCATCATCTTCTCTACAACACTGGAATAACCTGTTTTAAAGTCGTTGTCTCATTTCCAACATATGGTTAATTCATTAAGACACTCTACGAGGACTTTATCCTCTTCTGCAGTCCATGTATGATTACTGCGTTTAGTTGACTGCTGGCTGTCTTCAGCCATGGTGCCAGGTGCTGTATTGGAATATCTGTTATACAGGAAAAAACATACAAAGAAGATTCATGAATATAGTGGGAATAAATATAGCAAAAAACTCTATAAGATGGAAGACATTTGCATTTACGGTCACCGAAATATAGCAAAAGAGCATTTTCCATGTTGTAAATACGAAATATTAAAATAAGCGGTCTATTACATAACATGGCAGGAAATAATCACATGTTCCTGTCATTCGGATTTTATGTCCACAAATGACACTTAGTATACATACAACTATCTTTTTCAAACTCAGCACTAAAATACGAAATCAAACGTGATTCCTCCATGTATTGAACATATGATTCGCCATTTGATCCCTCGAACCAGTCCATGCATTAGAAGACTCTATGTGAGTGATGAAGTCATTTCCTCCAACATCAGCATCAATTTGCATTTGATCCACTTCTTCATCGTCTAGAGGATCCACAACCATTTCTTTTCGTATATGATTATGAAGCAAGCAACATGCGATAATTATTCGGCATTGAACATTAACCGGATAGAAAGACTTTGATCGCACAATAGCCCAACGACCCTTCAGCATTCCAAAGCATCTTTCTATGACATTCCTTGCGGAAGAGTGCTTCATATTAAAGAATTCTTGTGGGGTTCTTGGGTGTGCCCCATGTCTCCATTCACTTAGATGATATCTCTGACCTCTATACGGAGTGAGGAAACCTTCACCATTCATGTAACCAGCATCGCACAAGTAATAGTACCCTGAAACATTCAAATAACATCCAACAGTTAGTCAAAATAGCAAAGGAAAAATTTATAGTTCGCTTACAATACACTCCATGCACATAAATTATGTAAGCATATTACCTTTAGGGACCCTTAAACCGTTCGGACGAGAGATGGCATCTCTGAGTACCCTTGAGTCTGCAGCTGAACCCTCCCATCCAGGCAAAACATAAATAAACTGACCATCTTGGGAACAAACCCCCAACACATTGGTTGCTATCTCACCCTTCCTAGTCCGGTATCTAGGCTTGTCGGCTTGCAAGGGATAGACCTTGATGTGTGTCCCATCTAGTGCTCCCAAACAAAGCTAATAATTAACCAACTAAAAAATTATTAACCACAATTCCAAATACATGGACATCAGCTTACGTAGGTTTAAATGTAACAGTACATAAAGAAATTTCTGACCTTGAACCACTTCCACTTCTCATCAGTCGAGTTCTCTGGAACTGGTTCTGGTCGTTTAAATAAAAGTGTATGACATCGTATGACAGATAGCAACACCTTGGAGAACTGTCTACTAATGGTCTCACCAGATCGCATGAACTGTCTTTTAATTATCCTATTCTTCACATCGTGTGCTAAAATGTGTAGAAAAATTGAGACCATCTCTTCAACACCCATATGTCTAGTCGGCTCCAGCCCCCCAACAGTTTTCACCAACCAACACAGTTTATGGAAACACCTTCTGTCCATCCTTGTATTCTCAATACAAGCCCTGTCACTTACATGGACTATTCTATGGAAGTTGACTTCCCTAACCCTAGCCCTACTAAAGATGTTACCTGATACTCTCCTCCTTCTATTTCTCCTCATATCGTTACGGTGTAATCCCACAATAGCACAAATACTGAATAACAACAAAATCAATTGTTGCATACACTCCAGATGAGCAATCAGTACAACAACGACACTAACTTCCATTCCATTGTTCATTGCCACAATCTAAGACACAAAATAACAAAATTATTCACATAATTTTTTATCATAACAAATATCATGTACCATCAACTATGGACATAGCAGGGGGCTGTATTTGAGATCAACCAGAACATACTAGTGTGGAGCATAACACAACACTAAAAGGCAGCATATCAAAACCATTAAAAATTTAAAACAAAAAAATATTTAGTGCAGTTTTGAAAAACCATAGGAGAAAACAATCAAGTAACAGGTAATAAAACATAGTGAGAGCAAGTCCCATCATAGCAGCACTATTAAGAAGAGGGAAGAAATTTACAGGCTGAGGCTGCTGCCAAATTTATCACTCAGTTGCAGATGCAGTGCATATACATAAAAACTTATAAATGGTTTTGTTTTTTTTTCAATATCTGTGAAAGGCTGCATCTTGATTGGGAGAGGTGGTGATGGACGATTGACTTCAATCTACCTTAAGGATCTGCAACCTTATCCTCTCTCAAACTAATATTATTGTAACAAAGTCAAGCTCATTCGGCTATATGAGAGAAAAAGAAAAGTTGTGCTGCTTTAGGCTTTAGGTAAGCTCTTGTTACCTCTGTGAAACTTGAAAGTGTGAGCCTAGACAACCTTTATTAATGCCTCAACATCCTTGGAGAGGGTGCTTGCTACTTATGCTTACAAAGTAACTTATTAGGGGCTGTTTGGGTAGAGTAGTGTATTTTTTTGGATTCCTGGGAAATTGAGATATGGAGCGAGTTTTTGCTGACCAATAACAATGTTTACAACTGTCACTGACCTTATCTTTATCTTCTACCTTATTCTTCAATGCTTCCTGGGTTATGGGATCATTAATGCGCAGATGCAACAGAAACTGTGCCCTCCAATTCAAGGGTCCTTCCACCATTCAACAAGTGATTAAATTAAACTGATGAAACTTTCGTTTCTTGGTTAAGTTACTTTAAGTAGGTTTCATTTATAATTAAATTACTGCTTATTCAAATTAGATGCATTATAGTTTTACAATTCAACCTGTTCAACTAACTAGTAACTAGTTTGAATCACATCTTCGAAAATTGAAACAATGCTACAAACTCATATTTGAGGGTATGAATATGATATCATTAATGGATAACATAGAATATTTGTTATTTTCTCAGTTCATGCATGGAGCTTTTTTATTTTGCGGTATCCTCCAGTTATTGCTTATGAATTGGCCAAACCCATGGTGTCCTGCTTCAGTTAAATAGTGGGATTCAATTTAATTTATTTTTATTAGGACATTGATAGAGAACTAAAACTGAATTAAATTAGCATGAACACTCTGGTTTCTAAAGATAAAATTTACCACTGCATACAACTATGTTACCACTGCATTCAACTATGTTACCATTTAATTACAAGTTGTTTAAAATATAAAATTTCTATCTAACTAAATACCCGTGGTGTGAACAAAAGCTGACACCCATAACTGCTACTGAAACTGACCCTCATCATTTTGTTGAATCCGTATAAGACAACATCCTTGCACAGTCAAAAATCTGATACAGAGCACATCATTCCATCTCCATTCTTACTTTCATAATCACAAGCACAACCAGAACAAAGACAAAGGTGTGTGGACACTTCCATTTTGTGTTTGCAACAATGAACGACAACTTAAAAACAGAGGATGAGTCCAACAAATAAGCTTACCGGAACAGTGTTACCAAGACAGTCACAAAAGAACAGCACCCTTATTTCAACGTTCTCTGTACCTCACCAAATAAGGCGGTTTGGAAACGACCAACTTCTACGACGGGTTCGGGACACGTCTTCGACCAGCTACGCAAATAGAAGGTGCTACCACATGGAAGGGAAATTATTTTGATAAACAACGCTAACACTATACACAAAAACGAAACAAAAGATTATTCCAAAACTCAGTTTATTTACCATTACCTGACATCCGATCATAGCCATCTTCGTTTCATCAGTCATGCTTGGGTTTCGGTGGTAGACGGACGACATCTTCACTTCGATTGTGGCTGTCGCGACAACTGATGAATGTTACACCCCTCAAGCTCGCATCTCAACTTTGTCAGAATGATATATGGTGCCGGGTAGTCCACGCATATCACAAGCTCACGTGTGGATAAGAAGCAGGGGTAAACTTGTCATGCATTTCATCACCTTTTTCATTTATCCGGTTTTGAAGAGCAATTCCACATGTTGAAACGGGTTTCTCAACAGTGCCCTTCTCCAATTTTTGGTTGTCTTCCTCGTTTGCTAGCCAACACTCTTAGATGGGAAAATCAACTGAAAACCTTCAACCAAACGTGGTTATGACAGATACCCAGATGCAGTTAGCCATCAAAATTTTCACTTCCCCCCAACCAAACACTATCTAAGAGATTTTCATCCTCTCTACTTAATGGGTGACACTTGGATCCCATCTCTCGAGCATCTATCTATTCACCCAAGCACAATTGCCTATGCTATTTTTCTCGTGACATGTTGTGGTTAGAGAACAAGGAATATCTCTGCAACTTTGTTCGGACTCCAAAGGCAAATGTGCCGCGAACCCAACACCAAAAATGGAATCTTGGCCTATATTTTATGTCATGTCTTATTCAGAAATGGATACTCTTCTAGTAAAGTAAGAGTACTTAATAATATGCGTCTCCCCCTTATAAAATTTGGCGTGTCCCTTTATAAATGTAAAGAATCATATAGTACTGATGACAAATTTACTTTGTTTTCGATAACAATTATAATTATATACTACGAATAAAATTTGCGATGTGGAGCGGTGACACATTACAGTATATTTCCGACACCACTTTTATAACATATTTTTTTGTTCACTATGAGTTATCATGTTGCTTAATATATAAACAACTACATCAATCTAAAATTTTAAAGTATTGGATAAGAATCTTTTTAATAATTTATATTATTCTCTAACATACCCCTCTAGTAAGAGTCTTTTGTTCTTGAAATGTAGATATTTCATAGGTCCAATTTTTATTTTTGTTTTACTTTATACTTATTTAATTCCACAAGTAGAGACAGAGAGAATCGAACTCGTAATCTTGTGATCACTAAAGCTTTGATATAATGTGAAGAACCACTTCAATCCAAAACTTTAAGATATTAGATTAAGTCATTTTTTAATGGTTTGTATTATTTTCTAACACTGCACAACAAGATTAGAGTTCGATTCTCACATTCTCTACTTGTGAAATTAAATAAGTATAAAGTAAAGCAAAAACAAAAATAAAAATTGAGCCTATGAAATATCTATGTTTCAAACACAAAAGACTGTTACTTGAGACAATATATTAAAGAATAATATACATTATTAAAAAAACTCTTACCTAATATCTTAAAATTTTAAGTTAAAGTGATTCTTTATATTTAGCATCATGATAACTCATAGTGGTTCTCTGTACCACAAGTTCCATGTGTACATATTGAAAATCATAAAAATAAATCTCTGTCCGCGTTACTTCACCGTGTGGCCCAAATGAGCAATAATATAAGCTGCTGAAAGGGGACATCAAGCATTATTTCACTACTTTATTATTATTATTTTCACTCTTGTTTCCTTTTAATTTTGACCATTGGAAAAAAAAGCATGCAAATGCCTATCAAAGGTTTCATCAATCTCGGATAAAAATATATATATTTTGTATTGTGGCACGTGTTATGAAGTGCATAAGGGGTTAAACAGAGTAAAACATGAGTGATGTCTTCATCATGGGGTATGCTTCCTTTAAATATACATCACAGCTTTCTTTCACAGAACTCACCAAATTCTTTTCTTTCTACTCTATTCAATCACCCTCTGTATTTCCCTCTCAAAGCTTACGATGTTTCCAAAGTTCATGAGTCCCTTCAAGGTGGAATCACAAGAAGGGAAGCAGCTGAACAAAAGAAGAAGAAAACATATAAGCTCAATTCAGAGTACCCATATGAATGTTGGTCTAAGGGTTCTCACCCAAATTACAAATTCTAAGACCAAATCAAATGTTCTTGTGAAATCTGCAGTTAGAAATACAAACCAAACCATCCCTATAGACTTTTGCTTCCTTAAAGCTTGCAACCTATGCAATAAGCAGCTAAGGCCAGACAAAGATATCTACATGTACAGGTATTGCTAAACTCTTCTTCTACTTGGAGATAGTTACTTACAAATGGAGGATTATTTTCTGTTAAAACTTGACATATCTTGGATAATTCACTGTTTAAGCTACCTAATTAATCCCCTAAGAAAAATGAGATAATTATAAATAACTGGGTATGTTTTATTTCCTAACAAAACTTGGATATGGTTGTTATGCAGGGGAGATCAAGGTTTCTGCAGTATAGAGTGCCGCAACAGACAAATAGTTTTGGATGAGATGAGAGAATTAGAGAGCTCTACAAAACAAATTGTGGCATCTTATAGGCAATGTTGTAATAAGGCACGTTACAGAGACTTGAATCTAAAGTCTAAACCTTTTTCATGTAATCAAAGGCACTGACAATAATTTTGTAAAGAGGGTCTCTCTGAATCCCTTCACTTTGCTCAAAATAGCTTAGCTTGATAAGTATGGATCCCAACTAAAAGATGGAAGATACAAGTATTGTTTATGAAAAATCTTATATAGTCAAGAATTTTTCTGATGTGACATATTTATTGTCTCTAGATAAAAGGGTGTTCCTACCATTTTAATTTATCAAACAATTATCCTTGAATTTTATCAAAATTTGGACGATTTAATTATGTTAATTCATTATTTATGGCGGAGACTGGACTATAATTTTCTTGCATATACATGCAATATAATAGATAAGGTCATATGGAAGATTTTTCACACTATGTTTAATTTCCTTGCGCTTCAAATTCAGTAATAAGTATCATATCTCTTTTCTGCCCATTGTGTCTGATTAAATAAATGAGACTCAGGAATCTAAGGACACTGCTGCATTTAATTAACTTTGGATGGGTTGAAGATATTTTGCCATCAATATTTGGAAGGTTCTTGCGTCCAATTCTACTAAATTGCTTTATTTTAAAAAAAAAAAAAAATTGCTGGTCCACTTTGTCTCACGTATAACTTTTAGTTACATATCAATTTGAATAAAATAAATAGATTTTTTTCGAACAAATGGAAATACTCTTTTCCTACCTGTGTTATGCTTACAGCTAGAGTCTTCAAACAATTACTCATCCCCCACCCCCTCTTTAATTGGAAAAGAAAAACAAATGAAGACCAGTCCCTAGCAGTACGTGATCTTCTTCCACCTCAATCACTACCACACGAAAATGGTGTGCCACTGTCTGCCACACATAGACATGTCTAACACTGAACACGTACGGTGTTAGTGCGGAATTAATTCCGCACATACTATGCACAAGAATAGTCTGGTACACAGTGCATGCAGGACTAGTTCCATACTAAATGATGATAAAGATTGACCATTCACATTTTTTATATTGGACAAAAAGCTTTGACCAATGATAAAAAAACCCAAGAAGATTAAAAGGGTTATTAAATTGAATATATCTTATCTAATAATTAAAATATATATATATTACAATCAACAACAACAAAATTCTTTTGTTGACATGTTTATAATGATTTTATTGTGATTGGAGATAACTAGGATGATAAAGGAAAATGCTTCGAAGGATGATGAATCCATTGATATCCAAAAGACAAAGAAAAGTGGAAGGTTCGAGAATACAATGAGAAAAAGTTTTCGGACAAATATTGTCCGAAAATATGGTATGAATATCCCTTTTATTACCACATGCTCATTCTTCCTTCTTCTTTTTCTATTCGCAATTATATCTTTTTGATTCTTTTAAGGCGCATTTGAAGTGCTTTTAAAAAAAATTGACTTTTTATAAAAGTTAAAAATTATTTTATATTTGAATGAATATATAAAAATTATTTTATATTTGAATGAATATATAAAAATTATTTTTAAATAAAAAATGATTTAGATGTTAAAATTAATAAGCAATTTATATATATATAATTACTAAAAAGGATGTGTGATGTTAGTAGAGAAAGTGAGATGGAAGTAGTTCGAGTGAGATTGGATAAAATTGAAATTTTAAAAAAATATTTGATTTTTAACTTATTTTTTTTTAGAAAATAATCATGATTTCTAAAAAAATTGGAGTGGGATTGGACAATATTGTTTGCGTTTCGAGAAGGTCACGTAGCGGTTGCTTTTTTCTTTCACTTTCTTGATCTCTGACATAAGCAATACCACTAGTCTCTATCTCGTCTCCTTCAGAACCCTTTGAAACTCGAGTTCTTATATTACTGTTGGGATGGAATCCCTCAATAAGAGCGAAAGCAAAGTTCAAGTTGACACATCGAGCTTGGAGGTCGGCCTAAAGTCACTAGGTTAGCCAACACGTAGAGAAATGAAAAATGTAGAAATGAGAGAGAAAGAGAGAGAAATACAACAGATTTTTAAAGTGGAAAACCCTCCTAAGGCAGAGGAGTAAAAAACCATGGGACACTAGTCCAGAAAATCTTCTACTATGTAATAGTCGGATTACAAGGAGATCAAACTTCCTCAATTACACTAGAGGTACATTTAAGAATCACAAACAATGGTGGTTACAACTTATTCTCCAAAGAGGTCTCACTTACAAACTTCTCTTCAGAAGTTTTTCTCTCAAAAACTAGGCTAACATATTACAAATGTCTTCATGTGTTTATATAAGGTGAGGGTAGCCTTACACCTTATTCTAGAATCTTTCAGTGATAAGATGTGCAACAATCATTAAGGTGGTTGGTCAGACATTGAGCTATGAACCTATAAATGAGGTGAGTGTTCAACCACCAACATTAAAGGGAAGAACACACCTCAATATAAACTTCAATTAAAATTGTGTCAGACGTATAATACAAGTTTTACTTGGGTATGTCAAAACAATATTGTTTTGGTCCCCTTTTGTGTGGGTGTTTATTGATTCACGTTTTCTAACTTGTCCTATTGATACGAAATGAAACGGTGTATTTTTCACTCTTGTATATCTCTCCGTTTTGTGTTTTCACTCACCTTTCTTTTTTCTCTCTGGCGAAAAAGCTGAACCCTCATTTTTGTTTTCTATCCAAACTTAACCTTTAGCTCTTAATCATTCTGCGCTTTGTTCGAATTAAGGCTTGAATTTGAACCACAATTTTAGGGGTTGAAAATTTGGGTTGTAGATTTTGTGATCTTAGCACTTGTTTGAGAATCTGGTATATGCTATTAAGGATAAGAATAAAGATGGTTGTTATTTGTCATAAGACTCATAACTGATTTTGTTAATATCTTACCACCCTTGTATCTTATTTTCACCTAATTAATCAAAAAATAAAAATAAAATTCATAATTGATTTTGTAAACATGTTTTTATTAAAGTCATCACAACAAATTAACATTACAACTCTATTTAAACCACCATTTATCCCATCCACTTTATTATACTATATATATATATATATTATCCAAATGTATTGTTTTGAATATTAGGTTTATTGTTAATTTTGTATTTTTTATATTATTCGTCAGTTCATCGATTAATCTAACTCGAGTCAGATAAGATTACATGGACAACAAAGTTTTCTCTATCAAGTTTTAACATAACTACGTTCCTACATATTCAAATTTGTATACCACTAATTAAGCTGAAGTAAGTCTTTATCAATTAATCCACTTATTTGGTGGAGTCTTCTTTATACTTAACTATATCATAGAATTTCAATAACTAAAATATATAGAATGATCCTATAAAATAAAAAGCCAATAATACGTGAAAAGAGAACCCAAGAGGTGAGATCAATGTTTCCTGTCCAATGTCTACATTCTCAATCGTATAAAGTATAAACAATATTAGTCAGCTTTAAAATAAATAAAAAAATTCCAGCTGAGTGGCAGAGTGGGATAAAGAGTTCAAGATATTAAGAATTTGTTTGGATGAGTTTTTTTCTTCTAAAATTTGCTTTTTTCATAAAGAAAAAAATTCTTTCTAACTACAAAGTTTGTTTGGATATCTGTTATAAAATAAAAGTCATAAAAAATTAAAAAATTATTTTTTTTAAGTTAAAAATTTTAAATTTAAAGAAATATCAAATATCAAATATTTTTAATTGATGAAGCCGTTTAGATGAATTAAATTGTTCCATGACACTCCCATGCAAAAATGTTGACTCCTCTACAGATCTCCAAGCGGCCCATACCCATATGCCTGTCAATCCAAAGGGCAATCTATTGGATTTGTTGTTGAACAGTGATACTCTTACCTTTGAAGCTTAATTAATAATGAGAGCATCTTTTAATTTTGGTGTCAAATTTTAAATTTGACACTTCATCTGAGAGTCATTAGAGAAAAAAAAAATCAACGATTTTGATTTATAAGCATGTAATATCATTGATCTTTTTTAATTTAAAGACTCTCAGATAAAATGCCAAACTTTAAATTTGATATCGATATCAAGCGATCCCACCTCTAATTAATACGTGGATAGAATAGGTGGAAAGTGCAAATTACATTTAAACCAAAACGTCAACAAACAAAAGAGAATAAGCTAAATATAAATTCTTAATTTGTGTCTTTAAATATAAATAAATAATTTAGTTCACCAAAAAAAAAAATTTAAAAGCTTTAAATAAAAATAAATAGTCAATATCTTTAAATTTAAAAACTAAAAATAATATTTTTTAACTTAAAATTAATAATAAATATTATTATTTTCTTTAAATTTTTCTTAGATATACACATTAATATAAGAGGAAGGTTATACTTATGATCTATTTTTGTTTACAATCATATCTTAACTATTAATTTTCGTCAATCAACGGTTATTATTTTCACAAACCAAACTCATTAATTAATTATTAATTTACAATAAATAATAATCATTGATTGACGAAAATTAACAATTAAGATATGATTGTAAAATATTATAAACGAAAATATATTGTACGTATAACTTTCTTAATAATATAATTTATAAAATGATATATTTGTAACCTTTAAAAAGTACATTAGCAAATCAAACGAAGACATCCAAGTCCTCAATAACCCAACAACCCAAGTAAATTTTTCGTCACATAATAACTTTGTTGTATCCCGGAAGTCGCGGGAAATTAAATGTTTACTTTTTCTGTAGTTACTGTAGATAAGTTATTTGCAGTAAACTCAATACGACGTTGTTTTGGACATAAATCATGGTATTTTTGTAATTTTAATTTATTTCAGGGTTATAATAGTCTTTATATTTATAAATTTTTAAGATTTTAATAGCAAAACGACATCATTTTAAGAATAAATGCAAATAACTTATCTGCATTAACTGCAGAAATATTTTTCCCTTAATTAATTTCTTCAAAAAATTGAAGTAAAAATATTAGAGTTAATCAAAGAGTTGTATAGTAACTATCAAACTATACCAAAAGAGATTAGTTTAAGCAGTACATATTTTATTCTGCTTAAGTAAAATATTGAGTATAAATCTTTATGAATGCAAAAAATCTTTTTTGAAAAAACTAACCCCACAATAATATAAATAATTCTGCCTCTAACGGGATTACGGATTACCTCTCACAAAAAATACATATAGTTTATAAATAAAAAATAACTA